TACGTCCTTGCAGAGTTGTTTGTACAGTGCTGCCAATATAAGTGTTTAGTGGCCTCAGTGTGCGACCTCATATACTGTGGTCTATTAAGTGTGCAACAGCATTATGAGTAAAAACTATGCATAATTTAATTTTATAAGATTTTTTTGAGACAGAGTCTCACTTAGTCACTCTTGGTAGAATGCCGTGGCATCACAACTCACAGCAACCTCAAACTCTCAAGCTTAATTATTCTCTTGCCTCCATCTCTTAAGCCGCTGGGACTAAAGGCGCCAACCACAATGCCTGGCTATTTTTTTTGTTGCAGTTGTCATTGTTGTTTAGCAGGCCTGGGCTGGGTTCGAACCTGCCTGCCTTGGGATATGTAGCTGGCACCCTAACCACTGAGCTATGGGTGCCAAGCCTTCAAAAGATTTTATTGCTAAAAAATGCTAACAATTATCTGAGCCTTCAGTGGCTTGTCATCTTTTTGCTGGTAGAGGATCCTGCCTAAATTAAATGGCAATGTTTGAAATATGAGAGTTACAAAAATGTGACAGATACACAAAATAGTCACACGTTGGAAAAGTGGCACTGATACACTTGCCTGAGGAAGAAATGCTACAAACCTTCAATTCATAAAAAACCACAACATCGGCTCAGCGCCTGTGGCTCAAGCGGCTAAGGCGCCAGCCACATACACCTAAGGTGGCGGGTTCGAATCCCCAGCCCGGGCCTGCCAAACAACAATGATGGCTGCAACCAAAAAATGGCCAGGCGTTGTGGCGGGCGCCGGTAATCCCAGCTACTTGGGAGGCTGAGGCAGGAGACTCGCTTGAGCCCAGAAGTTGGAGGTTGCTGTGAGCTGTGATGCCATAGAACTCTACCCAGGGGGATAGCTTGAGGCTCCGTCTCGGAAAAAAAAAAAAAAACCCACAACATCTGTGACGCACAGTGGTGCAGATCACAACAAAACCAGGGACGCCTGTAAATAGTTCAGTATGTTAAGTTTCGTTGTGCGACAGATCTCCAGAACTTTTTCATACTGCTAATCTAAAACTCTATACCCACTAAACAACACCTATTTCCCACATTCCCCAGTCCCTGTTACCCACTATCTTACTTTCTGTTTCTATGACTTTACTTTAAAGACTTCATGTTATACACTGAATTGTATCCCTCCAGAACACTTCAGTTGAAGCCCTAACTCCCAGGACTCCAGAATGTGACTGTATTTGAAGAGACAGCCTTTGAAGAGGTAATGAAGGTTAAATGAGTTCATATGGGTGGGCCCTAACTTAAGCTGACAGTGTCCTTACAAGGTGAGGAAATCTGGACACACAAAAGAGACATCAGGGATGGGTACCCATCCAAGAAAGGCCATGCGAGCATACAGTGAAAAGGCAGCCATCTACAAGAGAGGCCTCGAGGAAATAACAAACCTGCCAACACACTGCTCTCAGACCTTCAAGATTCATAACTGTGAGAAAATAAATTTCTGATATTTAAGTCACCCATTTTACAGTATTTTTTTATTGCAGTCCTAGCAAACTGCAAATGGACCATACAATATTGATTTTGTGACTGGCTTATTTCACTCAGCACAATATCCTCAATGTTCACCCATGTGGTAGCATGTGACAGGATGTCCTTCTCTTCAAGGCTGAATGATAATTCCATTGTACGTGTATGCCATATTTTGTTTATCCGTTCATCCACTATGACCATTTGGGTTGTTTGCTCCTGGTGGCTACTATGAATGATGCTATGAACAGAGATGCACGAATATCTCCTTCAGGTCCTGCTTTCAATCCTTTGAATATACATACCTGGAAGTGATTGTGTGGTAGTATTTTAATTTTTGAAGAATTGCCATGTTTTCTGGCTGCAACATTTTATAATCTCGTTAGCTATTACCTGACAGTTGCACCATTTGATAATTGCACAGCCTTCCAATTCTTTTTTTTTTAAGCCATTTTTTTAATTTTTTATTAAATCATAGCTAGGTACATTAATGCAGTCATGGGGTACAGTGTGCTGGTTTTATTTTATTTTATTTTTGAGACAGAGCCTCAAGCTGTCACCTTGGGTAGACTGCTGTGGCATCACAGCTCACAGCAACCTCCAACTCCTGGGCTCAAGCAATTCTCCTGCCTCAGCCTCCCAAGTGGCTGGGACTACAGGCACCCATCACAACGCCTGGCTGTTTTTTGGTTGCAGCCATCATTGTTGTTTGGCGGGTTCAGGCTGGATTTGAATCCACCAGCTCTCGTGTATGTGGCTGGTGCCTTAGCCACTTACACTGAGCCAGTAGCTTTCCAATTTCTACACATCCTCACCAACACTTGCTATTTTCTAGTTTTTTGATAATAGCCATCCTAATAAATTTGGGATGATATTTCATTATGGTTTTGATTTTCATTTCTCTAATGATCATTTACAATTTTTTTTTTTTTTTGAGACAGAGTCTCTCACTCTGTTGCTCCAGGCTACAGTGCCCTGGCATCAGCTTAGCCCTGAGCAACCTCAAACTCCTGGCCTGAAGCAATCCTCCAGCCTCAGTCTCCCTAGTAGCTGGTACTACAGGCAGGTGCCGCAAAGCCTGGCTATTTTTTTTCTATTTTTATTTATTTATTTTGAGTCAGAGTCTATGTCATCCTCTGTAGAGTACTGTAGCATCACAGCTCACAGCAACCTCAAACTCTTGGGCTTAAGTGATTCTCTTGCCTCAGCCTCCCAAGTAATTGGGACTACAGGCACCCACCACAATGCCCGGCTATTTTTTGGTTGTAGTTGGCCTAGGCTGGATTCAAACCCACCAGCTCCGGTGTATGTGGTTGGTGCCCTAGCCGCTGAGCTACAGGCACCAAGCCATTTTTTTTTCTCTTTTTATAGAGCTAGGGGCTTGCTCTTGTTCAGGCTATTTTCCAACTCCAGAGCTCAAGCGATCTTCCTGCCTTGGGCTCCCAAGAGAGCTAGGATTACAGGCATGAGTCACTATGCCCCTGGCCTCATTTACTATTTTTAAAAATGTAAATTAGCCAGGCAGCGTGACTCACTCCGGTAAACCTAGCATTTGGGGAGGCTGAAGTGTGTGGATTGCTTGAGTTCAGGAGTTCAAATCCAGCCTAAGCAAGAGTGAGACCCCCGTCTCTACTAAAAATGAAAAACTGAGGCAAGAGGATCACTTGAGCCCAAGAGTTTGAGGTTTCTGTGAGCCACGGCACTCTACCAAGAGTGACAAAGTGAGACTCTGTCTCCAAGAAAAAAAAAACACAAAAAGTAAACTAACTCAGGAGTTAGAGGTTGCTACGAGCTGTGACGCCAAGGCACTTTACCCAGGGTGATAGCTTGAGGCTCTGTCTCAAAAAAAAACCTTCTGGAAAAAAGTAAACTTAGACCTCTCTAAGACACTATTTACACTCACTAGAAAACAAACATAAAAAACCTACATACTGCTGGTGGACATGTACATCATTAACAATCTCTTTAAAAAACAATTCGGCATTACTTTGTAAATATTCACATTCCCTATTACCCAGCAATTCCACTCTTAGGTAGTTCATTCCTACAGGGTTTCTGTAATCCATTTACCAAGAGTCACAATTAGCATTTTTTCTAACATTGGAGAGGCAAATATTGTTTACCATTTGGAGAAATTTTCATTCTATATAGGTGTGTGTATTTACCAGTTGAAGATACCAACTGCATTTCTTATACTATGTAGTGGTCATAAAGTCTGAAAGCCTCATACTAAATTTTTCTACATGTGCACCAGGAGAATGGATCAGAATGTTTACAGCACTAACGTTTATAATAACAAAAAATTGGAAACAACCCAAATGTACAGTAGAATTGTAAATTTGTGGTTTATTAACACAATGCAACACTATAAAGCAATGAAAATAAACGAGTCTCACAAACCCTTCAGTGAAAAAGAATTACAAAGACTGATTTTAAGACTAATATTTTATATAGCTCAAAAACAAGTAAACTAGGACAACATATTGTTTAGGGATGAACACATGGGAAGAAAATAGTAGGTACAATTAGTAATAAGGAATAACAGATAAAAATTGGGAATACATTTAACAAGCGGATGAAAAGGAGGGAAATGGCACAGTCCTGTTGATAGTTAGGGGTTAGGTCGTTAGGGGCCTTTATAGATGTTCATTTCATTGATAGGCACCAAAAGTTCCATTTGTACTAAACATATTAAGTACATATGATTACAGAATTCACATTATTTATAAAAATGCTCCCAGAAGTATATATCCTTTTTCAGCACAGTAGTGAGTCAACACTCCCGAACAAAAACTGGATTTCCTGAAAAACAGGTTGAGACTACAGGGGGGAAATGCTTGTCAGCACTGGCAAAGGTCACCACATGCCTAGTATGACGTCCTGTGAGCACATGTACTTGTTTCTTGAGATAAGGGGATGGAGTGGAGAATGATCAATAGCAACTACCTAACTACCTTAAGCGCGAAAATGAATTGTGTGCTTTTGTCGGGTTCCTTCGTAACATAGAAAATTACAACTCAGAAAGCGTTCTTGGAGACGTGCATCCCGCGTGTCAGCATCCCAGGCCTGTCCGGTATTGATTTCAGTTCCTCCAGTCCCAAGCTAGTAACTCACGACGGCGAGAGTAATTGATCAGAGCCACTCCTCTCAATTAACTTAGAATTGAAATCAACTTTCATGCCTTTCTTTCCTGATTTCCTTTGAACTATTTTAGAGCAAGGTACCCAAACTCGTAATTAAAAGGAGGGAAACTAGCTCACTTCCGAGACGAGAAACAACCACCAAAAAAGCAATTTCGGGAAAAAGGTTAGAGACAGGGAAGAAAACGGAAAAGAAATCCAGGAGAAAGGAATGGGGAAGCTGAAAACAACGGACACTTTCCACACTAAGACTTCCAAAAGAGTGTGCAAGATCGGAGCAAAACTTTTCCAATGTGATAACAGTAGACAAGTTACGCTGCAAAGCCCACAAGTTTGAAAAAAGGAATATGCAGAGTCGTTCAGGTTCAGCAAAACCCACCACAAAGATGGCGGTGGAACGAAGCCCCTTCTCCCGCCGCTAAAGGCTCTCGCTTCACATTTCCCACAAACCCTTCCGCGCGGCCCCGCTCGCCGAAACCCGCCCGGCCAAGTGTCCGGCCACTGCGCACGCGCGGCTGACGTCACGTGCGCTGCCAGGGCTCGGCGGTGCTGGCAGGAGGGGCCTTGCCAGCTTCCGCCGCCGCGTCGCTTCAGGGCTCAGGCGGCGGGTTCGCGCTGCCTCCGCCGCCGCTGGGCAGCCGGGGGGCGCGGAGCCGAGCGAGGGGCTCGCGGCGGCGCAGCCATGGGACTGCGCCGGATCCGGTGACAGCAGGTAGCCGAGCGGCCCAGGCCCTGAGCGCATCTCCTCCGGGGGGCCTCGCCCTCCTGCTCGCGGGGCCGGGGCTCCTGCTGCCGTTGCTGGCGCTGCTGCTGGCGGTGGCGGCGGCCAGGATCATGTCGGGCCGCCGCTGCGCCGGTGGGGGCGCGGCCTGCGCGAGCGCGGTGGCCGAGGCTGTGGAGCCGGCCGCCCGAGAGCTGTTCGAGGCGTGCCGCAACGGGGATGTAGAGCGAGTCAAGAGGCTGGTGACGCCCGAGAAGGTGAACAGCCGGGACACGGCGGGCAGGAAATCCACCCCGCTCCACTTCGCCGCAGGTAACCCGGGCCAGCGCCGCCTTTCCTAGCTCCAGACCTCACCTGCGCAGCCGGGCCTCGCCGGCCCGAACCTCAGCAGTACTCCTGTGCCCCTGACCTTTCACCCCAGGACTTTGGTCCTGGTGATCTCTCCCTCTGAGAGTGGGCAGTGGGGAGATAGAGGTGGGGTGAGCCTGCTGCACTGACTGGAAGTTGTTGTTTGGCCTAGGGTGGGTTTTTTGGCTTTGTTTAGTTTTACAGTATCAATACCTGTACTAACTTCCGGGCTTACCACTCTAAAAGGCCCCTACACACAAGAAAGTGATTTGAAAGGCTAGATATTTCTCAACTCTGTCGTTCTTGCAAGTTCCATTATAACTCTTACCAGTCCTGGGGCTAATATCTTAAAGACCTTTGTAAAATGCAAGGATGTAATTTGGGAGAGGTAGTTAATTGGCCAGTGGCACGTTAATGGTAACTGGTTTATCAGAGTAGCCAATCATTAGTATGTTTCTGGAAAGACTAGTAATGGAAATTGGCAAGTTTGGGAGAACAAATCTGACTTACACTGGGTGCTGGAAGTGTTTGCGGCCCCCCCCCAAGTTTGGAAAATAGCAGGATGAGCAAAAAGGTGGTACAAGTCGTTTAGCTTGGATCTGACCTTTCCTCATTCTGAGATTTAGGGCATTTGAATTACTGTCTTTTTATGTGTATTAGGTTCACTTTATGATATAAGTATATTAAATTTAATTGAAGAATTGAAAAGAACCAGAGATGGAACACATCTCATTTCCATAAAGCATTTATACTTTTCATTTTAAAGAGGAAAGATTGAGTATCTGTAACCTTAAGTGAGCCATGCATTATTGAAAATGGGAGAAAGACCTCACCTCTGATAATCCTGGTTTTCTATTTCATGATTTTTTTAAAGTACCTCCCTTCTTCTGGGGGCAGAAATAATGACCAGAAAAGGAACATGAGAAAGATTTCCTCGTTCACAGACATTGTTTTTACACTTTCTACCAATTAGAAATTTGTGAGTTTCAACCTGTTCCCATTTTAAAATGTAATACTACCAGAGGGTATGCTTTCTTGATCAATGGCACCTTTTTTAGGTTCCCATAGGTAAGGGAAGCCTTTTTAAAAGGTTTAGGGACCTTTTTATGAGAGAACTAGAAACAGCTTGTGGTCAATGGAAAGGGAGAGGAATACTGAAATGAAATCACACCTACCTAGCCATTTTGGTGGTCATTGCCACCATTCTTTGGCTAATTTGGATTGTCCTGTTTGACCGTGTAGTCAAGATTTGGCAACTGATTTGCATACTGTCACAACCAACTGATACATAATCCAAAGGATAGTGTTACTTAGATTCTGTTCACTTGATCTGTGGGATAAAAATAACCAAGGAAGATCTTAGTTGCTACCTTTCAAGAATTTGGTGTATTAATGAGTTCATATCTGAAAATAGTAATAGTTAAAGGTATAAATTTATGCTACTAGCTTCTCACTGACCTTATTCCTCCTCTACCATCTCACCTTCATTTATGTCCCAACATTTCAAAGCATTTTTTACATAGGTTTCATGTTATTTGTTTAGATTGAAATGGAAAATTTAATTTTTTGGAAACCAACTCACCCACCACAACTTACCCAAATTATCATGAATAAGTTATAAGATTAAGAATTTAATGTATAAAAATGGAGTAATAAAGCAGAAGTTACTAAGGGGTCTACATTCAACCAGAGCTTTAAAAATCCTCCGTTTAAACCAGGCATATAAGAAACTTTTTTAAAAAATTGGCTTTTTAAGTTTAATATAAATTTATTAATTGGATTGATCAGAGAGAACCTATTTCTTAAATTATTTGAGTGCACCCAACTGCATTTTTCTTAATATATAGAGAATACATTTTACAATCTCTCCTTTAGGTAGTAAGTTATCATTCATTTTAATATTCATGTAAGTGTACTGTTGGAAGTTCAGTATGGGTGGAGGTATTATGTAACTGCTTGACCAAGCAGTTTTCTTGTGTTTGTACATCATACAGTAAGCTATTGGAAGGGATAAGGTGAGACATTATTGGTTTTCTTTGTTATTGGTTTTTTTTTTTTTACTTTTTCTAGTCAACATTATTGTTTTAAAAATTTTTTAGCTGATTAAAGTTTGTAGGTTTTATTAGGTGGGAAGCATGTTTTTATCTTTTTGTTTTGATTACCAATGAACATTAGGAATAAGAAGTATGTGCAGACCACAGAAAATGAAGAACAGTTTAGAAAAGATTTGATTTGTCTTTTCATCAAAAAAAATTTAGTTCAGTTAAATTAATTTAGTTCATTTGCCAGCCCCAAGGGAGTGAAGTTCAGTTGATGAAAAAGGTAACCATGGCTCGGCGCCTGTGGCTCAAGTGGCTAAGGCGCCAGCCACATACACCTAAGGTGGTGGGTTTGAATCCAGCCCGGGCCCGCCAAACAACGACAGCTGCAACCAAAAAAATAGCTGGGTGTTGTGGCGGACGCGTGTGGTTCCAGCTACTTGGGAGGCTGAGGCAGGAGACTCGCTTGAGCCCAAGAGTGGGAGGTTGCTGTGAGCTGAGATGCCACGGCACTCTACCCAGGGGGATAGCTTGAGGCTCTGTCTCAAAAAAAAAAAAAAAAAAAAAAAAAGGTAATCACTGTAAATAGAAATTTCCCTTCTAGGAGATGTTTTTTATCATTGAACTAGACTACTTACTTTTCTTCTAGATAATAGAGTTTCAGAAGTCATTTTTTAGGAGAAAAATTACTCTGAAAATTGTTTTCTTTTCATTCAACCCACTGCCTGCCCCCTCACCACATACACAGACACACTGTGCAAGATAGGAATGATTATTTTTTGTGAAATGTCACAGTACTTGTAGAGGTGAGTTGGTGGTAGGGTGGCAGCTGCTCTAACTAAAAGCAAGAATATCTGCTGAGAAAACATCAAATTTCAATAAAGAGCCTCTGCTTTTCTGAATTTATTTCTGAAAAAATGAAGAGAACACAGAAACTTTGGGAGAAAGTCATCTTGGTACCCATGCATCATAGAAAAGAAAGAAATATGTGGCATTCCTTATAATCTTAGAACTCTTGGGAAGGGGGGTAGAACTCCATGGTTTGAAAATCTCAAATATTCTTTGGAGTGTGCAGAATGGTATCATTCAGTAGAGAAAAATACAAAATCATTTGTTAGATTCAAGAAAATTAGATATATAGATGGTGGAAGAAATGATAATATTAAAAGAACTGGTATTGTAGAGTCCTAGCTAAATAAGGTTAACACTTGTTTTATAGCTATAGTACGTTATTTATTTGTACATGTGAGTATACCACTGAGCCATGTACATTGGACCAGTTAAACTGAACTTGGATTCTTATATTCAGTTGTTTTAAGAAGGGATTTTTTTATTCAGAGGAGGAAAGTGAAATTAGGGCATCTGAAATTTATTGTACAGGCAACAGATTTGAAAACTGAAGTTGCTTATTCTGGAGATGAAAGATGACTACATACACTGTGTTACTATCTTCACATTTATGGAAAAATCATAGAAGAGTGAGCAGATATGACTTGGGTGTCTTTGGCAGTCAAAACTAAGACAAGGTTACAAAGAGTCAGACCACCTTTAACAATCTATTCTGCAGTAGAAATGGCTGGAAGTATCTAAGCAGTGGCTGGATTGGCATCTTTCAGAGATGACGTATAGAGGATTTCTGCATAGGGTAAGCAGTTTGACGAACAAGTTATAATCTGATTGATAAAAGAAAGTGAGATGATTCTCCCAATTGGAGGTTTTGACAGCATGGCCTACCACAGATGTACTGGCTTTTGTGATTACTATTTATATCCTTTCCCAGAATACTATTGAAGACCTCTAGTAAACCTTTCAATAGCATTTTCTTTGGCTGTGGTCCAACATCATAATTATGAGAGATGCACAAAATGTATACATACTCTTATTTCTTAATTTTAAACAAAACAGGATCTCACTATGTTGCCCAACCTGATCTCAAACTCCTGGGCTCAAGTGAGCCTCCCACATCAGGCCTCCTGAGTAGCAAGGACCATTTCCAACTTAGCCATACTCTTTACCTAAAACCATAGTTAGAGATTTATTGTGTTCATTATTGGTTTTTGCTGAGAGATAATTAAATCCTACCTTAGCCGAAAACCCCAATATCAAATAAAGATCAGTCTTTTCAAGAATTCATAATCTGACTCATCAAATTATGAGTCCGTAATCTGGACTCATCAAATCTCCCATTATTGAGATTCTGAGCTCTTGCAGGACTTGGAAGTAAACAAAGAACTTAATTAACAACTAGTTTGGGGTACTGGTTTCAGTATTCTCCCATTCAGATTATGAGAATTTTATCACCTCAAAGTCCACGGTATCATTTCCAAGTTTCTACTAGTTTGGCCAGATAGTACATCTATCCCAGATTGAGATAAAAACAAAGTCCTCTCCCTGGTATTCCTAAATCTTAAGAAATATATGTGGGAAATGCCTTTTCTGTATCTTTGTAAACTAAAATTAATAGTAAGGGAGAAGTTTAAAACAATTCCTTAGAATAATCTGTAAAAAGTGTCCTGGCTATGTAAGTCAATGCTAAAAGCTTCTTGATTATATTTTTCCATCTTCCAGATCACAGGAGTTTTCTCTGTTTTGTGACTATGTTGACATTTTTGCTTCTGAACTTTTCCTCTGACAAAGCCCTATACCCAGCCTACCTCTAGATTGCCAAGACATCACTGTCTCATATTGGACCAATTGTATTATCAGTGGTCCATCCCACCTTTACACTGTAAAAATGGGAGGGGTAACACTTAATTTTTTGCGGGTGAGGGTTCTTTGGTTGCTATTCCAACAAAGTGTTGGACATGTAGTGAACAAGTGCTTGTCAATCCCTACTATATGCTGACACTGGCCTTGTTCCTGAGGACAATAGAAATGAAGAGGATATAATACCTGCCATTAATCTACACCGTTTTGATCACCAAA